TTTTCCCTGCTGCAACCCTTCGAAGCCATGGCCACAGGTAAGTACCGGCCCTGAGGGCCCAACGAACGAACAAGTGCCCTGGCGGGCCACACACACACACACTCATACCAACCAGCACTCAGACAGGCAYGGTCACMCACGCAAGCCAACCAGCACTCAGACAGACATGCAGTCCAGCAAGCACRCACACACACAGACTTAGCAGGCGGGGAACTCAGTAGGGCATTCAGTCTATGAGCAAAACTCAGAAATCAGCTGTGTGTTTCAGTCCGTGTTTGGACGGGTTATCACACTACCCCCCCCTCAAGAGTGAGATCCCTTCGAGCGAGTAACTCATTCTGAGTCCTCGGCAAATGCATCATAGGCGAGCAAGGCAAAGAGATTCCTGGAATACTCTGTTGCAGAGAGCCTTGCTGAGATCTTCGGTGTGGCGTTAGCAGCGATCTGTCGCTCGTAAGCTTTAACAACGCGCGGTGCGCTGCGTAGCAGTTCCTGTTTGGAGATCCAGTAGAGATCATCTAACGGGTGATACATGAAATGAACCTGGTACTGTCTGTTTCTCCCTTTACCTACATGCTGTTTGATTCTATCTATCTCATGCCCGCCCTTGATTACGTGAGGGATCATATCTTCGCGATAATCGAATGTCTCGGCATCACGATGGAGATTCAGTTTAGATGCATGAAACACGGGATATGTACGCAGGTGAGCTGGCACGTCGACAACGTACGAAGGGCCAAAGTGATCTTCCCCAATTACATCCAGAACTTCCCAAGGCCCGTAGTAGAGTGGGAGGAGTTTGCGTGAGACTCCCTCCTCCTCTGAGAATTCAGACATCTTCACCCAGACATAGCTTCCTACCTGAATCTCCGATGGTTTGCGCTTTTTGTTCGCATGGTGGATCATGGCATGCTGTCGCTTGGTCATAGCTGCAACAGCAACTTTGAGCAAGCGATCGTACTTAGCCCTGAAGCCGGGCCTGCCGGGTGTTAAACCAGCTGGCTGCTCCGGGAATAAGTAGGAGAGCGGATTACGGATCTGCCACCCGTAGTGCAGCCTGTTAGGTGTCGTGGCGGTGGCAGAATGGACGGAGTTGTTATACAACCCCTTGACAGAATACAGCTCCTCATCCCATGTTTCCTGATCCGGAATAATCAATGCACGGAGAAGTTGGAATACAGTCTGGTTGATCTCCTAAGCCAAACCGTTGGCTTCGGGGTGTCGGCCAGATGTCATGCACAGTTTGATTCCTAGGTGGGAAGTGAAGTCCTTCCATTCAGTGCTAATGAAACGCGGATCCCGATCGCTCACAAGAGTCTTCGGGGTTCCGAATTGCAGCAGGTATTTCTGCTGGAATTCGCGAATCACTAGATCTGTTGGGGTGTGAGGCGGTACAGGGATCAGATTAAGAAACTTTGAAAATCGGTCAACAATCACCATGACTTGTGAAAACCCGTTCTTGCTTACCTTACCCATGTCAGTGAAATTGATGGAGACCGACTCCCGAGGACCATCAGGAATGAGTAGGGGTGTGAGTAGCCCCATGGGCTTTTGTCTGCATGGTTTGATTCGTTGACAGACTTGACATTCAGCTATAAATTTCTCAGCAGTCCCTTCCATGCCAGGCCAATCAAACTGTCTCAGCAAATTAGCGTATGTTTTTGCCATGCCGAAGTGCCCGCTCCGGCCATGAGCCAAGTCCAGAAAGTGTGTGCGGAGAGGCTCATGGTTGGGTACACACAAACGGTCATGGTTCCCGTATCGKCGAAAAATCAGTCCTCCATACTCGTGGAAATCAGGCTGACTACTAGGGTCAGCCCGCAGCTGCTCAAGGATGGAACTGAGTTCCGGATCCTTGGCTGTCTGCTCTACGAGGTCCTCCTTCAATTTCTTCCGGAGGTCGTAGGATTTCACAAGGCAAGTCATGTACTCAGGGTGGCGAGACAATGCGTCAGCGACTCGATTGTAACAACCCTTTTTGTGTCTGAGCTCAAAGTCGAAGATGTCAATCTCATGGAACCAGCGAAGTAAGGTAGGGGACAAAGTAGTTTGCTGTTTGATCCACTTCAAGGTCTCATGATCTGAGAAGATTTCGAAGTGGCGTCCCAAAAGATAGTGTTTCCAGTGATCCAACGCCTTACGCAAAGCGTAGAGCTCGCGCATGTAGGTGGAAGTGGCTACCTTTACGCTGGGCATTCGTTTGCTGTAGTACTCGAGTGGCCGCAGGCCATCACCGTCATCTTGTTGCAGCACTGCACCGATTCCATACTGACTTGCATCCGTAGTGACTACGAAGGTCAGTTTGGGATCTGCAATTCGGAGTACCGGATAACTTACCAAGGCTTCCTTGAGAGCTTGAAAAGTTTCCATACACGCGGTATCCCAAGAATAGGACACATTCTTACTGGTTAGTCGCAATAATGGACGAGCAATGATAGAAAAGCGAGGCACAAACTACCGATAGTAGGACGCGAGACCAAGGAAAGAACGCAATTCACGAATGTTCACAGGCTGAGGCCAATCGCGTATGACCTCAATCTTGGTTGCCTCAGGCTCCAGGCATGCAGCAGACAACCGGTGCCCAAGATAGATGACACTATCCTTCCCAAACTCAGATTTCTCCAAGTTGAGATGGAGCTGCGTCTTCTTGAGGATAGCGAGCACCTCCTCAAGATGCTTGAGGTGTTCCTCCATGGACTTGCTGAAAATCAGAATATCGTCCAGGTACACTACCACGAACCGGCCAATCTGTTCGTGGAGGACCTTATCCATGACGCTTTGGAAAGTGGCTGGTGCGTTCGTGAGACCGAAGGGCATTACGGTAAACTCATAAAGCCCGTCGTCAGTTTTGAACGCAGTCTTGTGCCGGTCCGCAGGATCGACTTCAATCTGGTGGTAGCCAGACTTGAGATCAATCTTGGAGAAGACCTTGCACCCGCCTGCGGCATCAAGCAACTTCGACTGCATGTGTGGAAGAGACAACTTCTTTGTTGCCAACTTGGGTCCGGCAAGGGTTCTGCAGGGCCACTTGCTTCATCCCCAAGCCCACCTTGCGTATCCCATGGGGTGACATGAACTTAGCAGTAGCACCACAATCAACCAACACACGGAGATAGCGGTGGTTTATGAGAAGTTTAAAGAAGATCAACTTCACTGTCCCTTGGGCACGCTGCTGTTTCATCTCAGCCCAATGCTCCAAGTGATAGTGGAAGTCAACCATCTCAGACTCCTCCCAAGGCTCGACATACAGGACATTACTTACCTCAGCCTTGTCTTCAGCAGATGGTTGGGCTTCAAGGGAGGGCTGCTGATTTTCATTAGAACCTGATTCCCCTGTTGTAGAGTTTGCTGAATCTGACTCTACGCCCGGTTCTGGTTTCCCTGTAGAGTTTGCTGAATCTGACTCTACGCCCGGTTCTGGTTTCCCTGCAGCCTTTAACAGTCTTGAACTTTATGATTTGGCTTTTGGCAATGCAGGCAAACCCCCTTCTTGAGTCTGCCCCGCCAATCATTTTCAGTGATCGAGAGGTCAACCCAAGGTTTAGTAGTTGCATCCTCCGGTTTAGGCGGGATCTTAACTCCTTTGGGGAGTTGGACATAACTTTTCCCGGCACTCCGATTCAGTCCCTTTAGTACTGGCAGTCTTTTTAAAGGAAGAAAAAATGTCTTCTTCTTTATTTGCGTCGGACTCATGGGCTGAAGAACAAGCTGTATCGGAGTCCTGTTCTTGGTCGTCACCAAGAGTGGGGTCACCCACATGGGCTTCTTCTTCGGCCTCCAGCAGGTCATGCACAGCAAAACGGTTGCTGCCCTTGAACCGTCTGCCGCCCATGGGCTTTTTGCTGCCTGCTGTGCTAACGAGGTTCATAGCCTCCAGACTGACTACGTCCTTCATTAAGGCGAGCCAGTCAGTGTATGCAATGTAGTCCCTGCCCAGGCGACATGTAAAGTTAGTTGGAACCGCGCCCTTAACCACATCCAAGCAAGATTGAGTGGACAGTTCCAAACCAGGAGTGGCAAACAACTTGCTTAGATAGGTCTGTAGGCTTTTCATGGAGCCATTCCACTTGTTGTGCTTTACTTTGTCTAGTTGAATCCTCGCTTTAGCAGCAACCTGTGGATCTTGATATTCAGAGATAAGGAGCTCTTCGAGGGAGGCAACCGGGGTGGCCCTTAGCCATTTGGCTAGTGCAGCCTTTGGAAACCCAGCCCGTGTTGCTTGGACTTCTAGGAAGCCCCGTACGACTGGCTCGACATTCATTCCCATGATTACCGCCTGGTTCTCAGGTTGAGTTCCCAGGATCTCAAAGTAGGCCCTCATGGAGTCGATCCAGAACTCGATGTCATCCTTGCTGTCGTACTTGGACGGCATTTGTACCGTCATCCGGTCCACGTAGGGACTGGCGTAGCTGGGACCAGCAGCAGCTGGTTCCGGCCTTGGGGCTACAACAATTGCAGAAGATCCAACCTCATTGCTTGTTAGAGCAACAGTGGAATCTGCACCTGCTGCAGGTCCTGAGGGGGTTGCCATCACACTCGAAGAAGAGGTAGAAGAGGATACAGTAAGAGGGGCAGAGGTAGTTTCGATTGCAGCTTCAGATCCAGGGGGTAGAGGAAGAGGGTTGGCCACTTGGGCTTGTCGCAGGTCAGCCACCTCCTTTGTCAAGTCATGGTACTTGCGGGTCATATCAGTCAGACCATCCTGAAGAGTCTGCAGCTTTGCAAAGACTTCAGCGATCTGAGTGGTATGGTCCTCGAGATTCCGGACCTGAACAAAGGTTGTAAGTATGGACTGCAATTGTTCCCCGCACTGCTGTTCAGTCAGTGAGGGAACAGTCTCTAGGAGAGCTACTTGCCTTCTCAGCAAGGTCTCCTTCCTCTCCTTCTCTGACTCCTGTTCCCGTTTTATTGCACCATCTAAGAGTGCTTGCAGATGGGGTTTCTCAGCATCACTGGCTGCATCTAACAAGGCCCGCCATTGCGATGAAGTTAGCTTGGCCATTTTCGGACTGTCAGTATGGACAGGTGGGTCAGAGAGTCGCCAGTCAGCAAAAGAATCAATCAGACTCTCAAGAGGTTCACTCCCCCTCACGCTTGGACGGACACTCCTTTTCCCAGTCCTTGCCCACTTCAGACAATCACTTTCCCTCTCTCCCTGTTCTCTCTCCCTCCTCTCTCTCTCTTCTTTCAAATTGCGGGTCTCCACGGGCATCGGAAATGAACTCAGAAAAAAAAGATAAAGCTCAGAGAAGAGAAGGTAGAACTCCTAGCCGGTGCGGCATTTCATTTGGAAGTAGAGAACAACAAAAGAAACATTCAAATTCAAAGAGAGGTCTGATCCAGCGACCCAGTCTGATCAGACTGCATACGAGATCCTCTCGAGTCCAGTCTGACCAGCTCCGTGTCAGTACAGCAAATCAGACAGCGAGTAACTAAATGCAACAATGGAGAATTGAGTGGTGTACAGGGTGCGAGTCAAGCCACGGATGGTGCAATCAGAATACAAGCGAAACGTCAAAGCCAAGATCCCCTCGGCAGTGGGTGTCCTAATCCAATAAGAATGAACTCATATCCCAGCCAAGAAGACGAGGTCAATGCCTAACCGATTTGGGTCCAGAGGCTCTCCTTGTTTGGATCCGGTCCCGCTGGGTCCCAAGGGTCTCGCTTGGTCCCAAGGGTCCCACGTAGGTCTCAACCAGGAGTCCCACCTGAACTTAGTTCAGTCTCAACTGCACTGAAAAACGAAATTTCAACTTCTGGCAGAACCTACAGACTACAACCGTTCAGTGATGAAAAGACAAAGCACTGTAGAAAGACTCGGCATGTATAACAAGATACTTCATTTTCCATCCATCAGGTGAGTAGGTAGATCACATGCATTCAGTCACACAATCAAGACCACAGAGGAGTAAGAAAAGAAACCCAGAGTACCCCAGCAGGTCAATCAATACCATACACACATACATGGGCATCCCGTAGGTGCACGACACTTACCTGAGTGGCCTGGAGCTTCGAGATGAAGAGAACTCACCCCCCTACTCATATGGTCCTCCTGACCCATCTAACGCTACCCCCACACTAGTGTCCTATCTCCTAGGAGGGTCTGACTCCAACACCCAAGTGCAACGCCGGATCCCCCGTGGATGCTGAAGAACAAAGTAGCAACTTGCAGTCCGTTGATGCAGAATAGCCGCTGGCCCTCAAGCTCGCCTTACTTGAGGGCAGCCCTTAAGTTGCCAAGTGTCTCCCTTGACTCAGATTCCAGGTGTGAGTGCCTCTCACTGTCGCCTCTCTCAAATTGCCGCATGAAGTCTCCTCGAAATGTCTCGCCACCCTAATCTCACTCTCAAGCAACCTGGTTAGGGTCTATGTTGACCCCACATGACCTAACCAGGTGGGGGCAGCTTCCCTCAGCCACGCTGCCTCACTTCCCTCAACCATCCAACCCTAACCCTAAGTGTTGCCCTCAACCACTTAGGTTAGGGTTAGGGCAGCAAAGTCAACTCTCACCAGCAAATAGAATCCGCTCCGATACCAATGTTATGACCCTGGCCAATTTCGAGATGCACATCCACTGGAAAGTACAATGCCATCCAATTGCAGAAAGAAATGAATGAACTTGAGAGGAGAGAGAGGAGTAGAAGAAGAAGAAGAAGTAAGAAAGAAGAAGCTGAAGATGTACACCAGCAAAGACAATGACAAGGCTCTTCTTCTTCGCCCAACAATCTCCTCCTCCTTATCTCACCCCCCTTCTCTTATTCACACAAGAAATAATAATACAATGTTGAATGACTGGTCCAGAATCATGTCCGAGTCCCTTTTCTACTGCAGGTATCACTCAAGGTCCACCATAGCCATGGCCGCCTCCCCCACTCTTCACACACATAGGCCGAGGCTATGGCGGACTACTAGGCCTTGATCCGATGTCCAAAGGACAACGCAGAGCAGCTATGGCTGCTCCAGCTCAGGCCGCCATGCCCAGCCCTGCCTTGAAGCTTCTTGGTGTAGCTCCCCCCGGCTGGGGACTCCTTGCAGCAGCGCCCACCAAGGTGATGAAGATGGCTGCCCCCATAGCCAGGTAAGTACCCCTGGCGCTCCTCCCCCTTCCTCCTTCCTTCCTCCTTCTTCCTCCCTCTAGTCCTTCTTCTTCCTCCCCAGCAGCGCAGCTCCAACCCAGCGCTGCTCCCTCCAGCGCTCCACCAGTGTGTCGCCAAACTTGCACACCGAAAAAGAGGCCAGGTCTTCCGCCCGGCCGGA